TTGCACTGTGTCACTGAGCCAATAGGTTGCATGTGTTTGACCAGTACGCAAATATTTGCATATAATAATTTGCATTTCCATGTGCTCGCTAACAAGTGCACACTCACAACAGCAGCCAGCTCAGAGGACTTGATAAAGTTGTCAATTCCACAACAACAGATAAGAGAAATAAACTATATTCACAACAAACACATACAGTAGGAGTCTTTGGGGATGACTGGGTAAAGTAAGTAAATAACTGGGCTGGTGCTTCACAGTAAGAAGGTCCTGGGTTCAATTCCACCTCGAGACAAGACCTGTCAGTATGAACTCTGCGTATGGACTCTCTTCCCAGGTTATCTTGGGGTGCTCCGGTTTCGCCTGCCGTGATAAACTGTGGGACAAAGGATGCAACGACCAGTTCATGAGGTCAGGGGCAGATATCATCCTCACGCCATGAGACAGACAATGGGACAGAGGGTGAATAGGCTCCTGCAGGGGCCTGTGGTGGCAGACTGGTTCATGTTGACTTACACCAGTAAGAGAGATGATTACAGACAACAGAAGGACACCTGAAAGAGGACGCTGAGGCAGAATCTGTGAGCTTTAACGTCATCAAATGTATATGAAATATTATTCTCATTAGTCCTTTTACTTTCAGATGGCCACATATGGAGCCCACTAAAGATACCAATGTAGTTTCTCCTCATACCTTTGTTGTAAATGTCTCTTCATTAAAAAGATATGAATGTGACGATGTGTAAGTGAGTTCACTCAAGAATAACACGATAGTATGTAATGTTTTCATTCTAAATTACCACTAAATCTATAATTAGTCATATGTACAAATCATATTGGATCTTTTCTGAGTAAATTTTGAAAGTGTGGTTATTCTTAATTTTAATTAACTTACTGAAGTGTGTGTGTGTGTGTGTGTGTGTGTGTGTGTGTGTGTGTGTGTGTGTGTGTGTGTGTGTGTGTGTGTGTGTGTGTGTGTGTGGTGTACGTGTGTACGTGTGTGTGTACGTGTGCATGCCTTAAGCAGTCTTTGAGAAGTCTGTGAGAGAGCGACTCTAAGTCACTGTTAATGGATGTAAGCCACCATCTGTTCAACTGTCAAAAACAGTCATGAGCATATTACCAAGAGCGCTGAATACTTTGGAACATTTGACACATTCACGACAGTAATTCTGCGGCCCACAGATCATCACGGGAAAATAGAACTTGGCTAACGAAGAAAGAGTTTCCACATATCAAATGATCAATCATGCAGTATTACATGGCAGCTGCTGTCTGTGAATGTGAATGCTGCTAATAAGTACTTTGGGGCCAGTAACATGCAGCAACACAGAGAAACCTCAGCAAGTAAATGAGCAAGGTCCACCTCCTGCTCCTGAAGAGAAGGAGGAGGATGGGGAGGATGGGGAGGATGGAGGACAATGAGGAGGGTGGGAGCGGGCGGAGGCGGGAGGTGGCTGGGAGAGAAAGTGAAAGCGGCAATTCATTTACAGCACTGTGTGATGTGTTTATGTCATACTTGTACAAAACACTGTATACTTTTATTGTATGGGCGTTGCTTTATGTCTGACAATTACTATAATTTCCTCTGCAGTCGAACGCAGTGTGTATGATTTATTTTTATTTTTTTCAGCTGTGTTTACATAATCTAATGCTTTTCTCCGCTGTAGAGACAAAACCTTAAGTATTTTTTGAAAGAGCTCACACATCGCCATGGGGACAGGGCATTTTGAGGGAACTGATTACTTATAAGAGAAAGGATTTAAGTTTTGACACATTGCGGAGGCGACAGCGGCTCACGACCATAAGGCCCCATCCCCCACAAGACCTACTCCACTTGCCTCTGCGGATGTCTGTTGCCATTGTGTCCTTGGGCATAGTGACCCCCACTTTGCCTGAAGCCCCACTGAAAGACCAAGGTTGTGTTATCGTTGACGAAGCAGCCATCCTTCTGCGGACTCACCACCTGCAGGAGGATCAGCGAGGGCCTGCGGTGCTGTGAGCCCAGGCCTTTGCTTCCCAGAGATGGATTAATAAAGAGGATGTTAATGAAAGAATGACATTGTGAGTTTGAGAAATTTGACATTTGGTTGTGAGTCAAATAAGTGCCTTATTAGTGTTGAGATTTAGTGTTTCAAGAAATAAGCCAAACCAACAGAAAGAATTGAATGGTGGGAAAGCTTTTCAAAATACATTACTTTCTTTTGGTGTTATACAAATAAAGTAGACGTTGCAGTATTTGACAATGACTCTTCAGACCGCCATTACAACAGAGCTACTCTAGTACAGCTACACAGTCATCTGAGTATTCAGGAGGCTCTCAGATTGGACCAGACAGTTATCAGTTTTATTTTACTAAATGTATTTTCAAAATATTTTTCCCAACACGAGCCTATTTCTTTCTAGTTATTTTGTATCTTATTGTGTTGTTTTCATTCATTTGCAGTTTTTTCATGTAACTATTAACATAGTGATGTTAAGGAAAAGAAGTTAAAACCTGTTTAGGTTTCCTCTCATCGAGGTTTCTTGTTGGAAGCACAGAAAAATAAACTAGAAAGAGAGACATTTTATTTGTTCATTATATTATAATATATTATTTGTAGCTCTTACTTCCACCCCCCTGACCCAGAAATGGATTAAGGGGAAGAAATGGATGGATATGTTATATAAAGATTCATTGTAACTCTCGTATATAATTACAGTACGTGGCCACAGGGCTATAACAGAGTTCAACCAGGTAGTCTTTCTCCGTCTTAGCTGCTTTGTGAGCACAGATACAGGCGCTTGACCTCTAGGGCGCGCCTTTACTGAAGTCTTCATTAGAAGTGGAGCTCTTTTCTTCACTGCCAGTGGCTGAACAGCTGCCCCTCAATGAAATCCTTTCTGCTTAAAGAATGCCTCTTTCTACATAGAAGCAATACAATGTTCATGTTCTGCATTTCTGCTGCATGAGCTGTTCCCATAAAAGGGAGTGTTGTTCACAGAATATGTAAATGTATCAAAATAGAGAATCAGACTTGATTCGTGTGCGTGTGTCTAATAAAAAAATACGTTTTTTTATAATAAAATGTTTTCTGTGGGAGGTTGTGCTGTCGTTTGCACATTGCATCTAATGTGTATTGTTCAGTGACTATTTATTTTGAACCTGTTTCATCTACCTGCTTTACGACCAAATGAATGAACAATATACTTAACTTGAAAAGCAGACTCAAAACCTTAAAAAATCTGCAAGGTTATATGTAAGTAAGTATATTTATTTATCTACCGCCTTTCACAGACTGGAGCCACAAAGCGGTTTACAATAGTTATTCTCGGGCATTAAGAATGCCCGAGAATAACTAATGGTAAGAGGCATTACTGGGGCGACAGTAGCTCAGTTGGCAGAGCATTGGCCTTTGGGCCTGAAGGTTGTGGGTTCAAGCCCACCATAAGACCTACTTCACGACTCCCACTGATGACTGCTGCCATTGTGTCCTTTGTGCAAGACACTTAACCCCACTTTGCCTGAAGCCCCCACTGAAAGATCTCAGCTCCTGTGGACTCACCACCTGCCGGAGGGGCTGGTGCTAAGTGTACTGGGTGCAGCTCTGACTGCCACCCTCCTGACCCAGAAATGGATTAAGGGGAAGAAAATGGATGGATTCTTGGGCATTAGTCTCTCACTCCACACAGAGATGGGAGCGGGCTCGCCAGTACAGGAGGCGCATGCCAGATCTATTGTGCATGTTTTTAGTGGTAGGGGAAACCGGAGCACCCGGAGGAAACCTACGCAGACATGGGGAGAACATGCAAACTCCACTCAGAAAGGCCCTGGACCTTCTTGCTGAGACTCATCCACTCAGCTGCTAAATCTGTTCCATATGGTTTTTGTTGTTTTTTGGTGGTTAGCAAAAAAACTCAAATGTTATTCAGAGTTTAAGTTTTTCAGTTAGAATCGAAAACTCAGAAGTTCAACTTCCCACTCGGAAAAAATGTGAATTAAAACTGCTCAAGTCAATGGTCCCAGAGTCTGTGAGAAAGGATGAGACTAGTGATTTTATGAGCACAAAGGCAAACATAATCAAGATTCTTTTCTGCACATATCTGTTGTTTTTGTAGTTGTTTCTGTAGTTTCTGAGACAGTCACAGGAACATAAAACAAACACAACGTGTAAAAAATAATTTACATTTACAAATGTAACACTTACAAGACAGGTTTGCTCCCTCAGACCCGATATCATCATAGATCCATGCTCAGACCCCTGCAGATTTCTCAGAGCTTTCAACATAGTTTGAAAAAGGAAACCGAGTTTAGATCGGAATTGAGCAAAATCAAGTAATCAAGTTAATAAAATAGATCCATGAGCAAAATACGCCCTTCTTTGTCCTTCCTTCCTTATGCATAATTTTGTTTGCATTAAATTACCTTTTATTTTAAGGAAAGCTCCAGGTTTGGTTGAGTGCAATTGAACACCCATTAAACATGTTTTTAATTACACTTAGGTCACAAAAGTGAATAAAACTGAGACGGGGGGGTGAAGGAGGAAAAAGGAGGATCTTTATGATTTTCTGATGCAGCCTTCGAGTTGATTTTCTCGACGAGCAGTATTAATCAACAATCTTCCGAATAGAAATCATGGATTAATTTGTGGAAATCCGAAAGTTGGAAAGTCCGAGTTTCCAAATACTTGAAAGAAGCATCATTACGCCCAGTACCGCCCCAGACCGCATGGGGGCGCAGCGGGTCTGAAACCGAGGAAATGTTAGTATGGATGCACAACAACAACAGCGACCGAAAACAGATTAAAGACACTTTAAAGCTTCACATCGGGAGTCTTTACGCACAGATTACCTACAGTTTGTGTTTTGAAATTATCGGTTAATCGACAGTCTCACGTCTTTGTTCGTCAGGACGCGATGGAGCGCAGAGCAGTAGCTTTGGCTCAAAGCTAGCATCGATGTGGGAAAACAAACTCCAGTTAACCATTTCAACACGACCTCAGCAGGGGCCCTAAGATAACAACATGGCAGGTGAGTAAGTGACACAGTGACTGAGTAAGTGACTGACAAAGTACCTCAGCTCAAGCTGCATGTCTTTAACCAGCTACATGTCACTGCTCATTCCCTATTATAACATATAACTAGCTTTAATGCTAATCACATGCATTCATTTCAAGGATAATAACGGCTTCATGTGTGTTGTCCTGCTAAAGTAATATGCAATTATCATTTTAGAGTGTTTTTGTGGGTCTCACAAATCCAAGCTGAAAGCATGTAGTGTCCCTGGAGCATCACTGTCTATTCTCTGAATAGAATAGCAATGGTTTAAAGTGGAGGTTTTTTCATAAGTAATACACATAGTCTGAGGGAAAAAGTAACATGTTGTGAACAAGTCAGACCACAACATGGTCATCTTATTCTAAATCTTTTGCCATGAGTCACTATGACACTTGTGAGGAGTGAGTGGCCCGGTCCTCTCCTTTCTGTCTGATGAGAAGATGTGACAGAAGCCATAAAAGATGCATGTAAAAACTACTGATTGAACCAAACCGTTTTGAAGGTGAAGAACGAGAAAGACCGTATTGTGTAGTATTTCCATCTCTTGTGGTTCAAAGTTTAGGTACCCCAGCTTTAATTTCTTGATCTTTGTGTTTGTGCAGATGACGTGGTCCTGCTAGCTGTACCTGTCATCCGCCAGGAGTTTCACTGGGACTGCGGCTTGGCCTGCTCCAAAATGGTCCTTAAGTGAGTATGAAAATGTTTTCCATTCTTTGGATGAACTGCAGGATTCAGAATACTGTTGCTTGAGACTAAGTAGAGTAGGGATGTAAAAAACTATGAATTTTCATGACCGACCACCGAGCCTCATTAACCGGTTGAAACCGGTTAACCGCGTAGTTTAAAATAGTCCACGTTCTTTGAAATAACAGCCATTTCGAGCCGCATGCTTTTCATAAGTGCAGCTGAGCGTTCTACGGGATCAGAGCCGAGACAGCGGCACCAAAACCCGCAACAGCTTCGGCACCTTTGCGCACAGAGAACTGCTGTTTTAATCTTCCCATTCTTCTGTGCTGCGGCTTAAAGCATTTTTAAGCAAAAGACAGCTCGTCCACATGGTCAGGGCAGCGAGTGACGAGCCGCGTCTCGCAGGTCTCCGCTAAAGTTTAAAAGTGATCAGTGTCGAGCTGATGCCAAGGACCAGCAGCACAAACATGGTCCATGTGGTTTGACTGGAGCCGTGTATTTGCAAGAATGCTTTGGGCTCCGTGACACAGAGGAGCGCGACAGACCGGTATGTGTGTGTGTACAATACATGTATGTATGTGTGTGTAAATATAAGCTCCAATGTAGTTCTGACCCGCACCAGTGTGCAACTAGCAGGCGGTAACAGAGGGGAGAGATGATGCGTGTGGATGTTACGTGTCAATGGAGGGGGGGGAAATATGTGTGCGTGCATATGTAGCGCGTACGGCGTGAGGGTCGGCCCGGAGTTTACCGTTACATTGGCGCACACATACGGACCCGCTCGTCACATCGTGCAAATAGGGCTTAAAATAGCGTTATGAAGAGACCTCCCCTCTCCCCCTTTTCTCTTTTTTAACCGACAGCTTTGACCGGTTAACGCTGTGACGGTCAACCACCGGTTAAACGGTCACCGATTTACATCCCTAAAGTAGAGTGAGTGTGTATATTTTGATCACATTCAGCATTGCAATTTTAGCTGTGCATACAACTGAGGGATTTTATATTTGTATCTTTCTTTTTAATGTTCTGTGATTATTTATGATTTTAATGCTTTCTTGTTTTGTTCAGCACTTAGAATTGCCTTGTGTATGAATTGTGCTATATAAATAAACTTGCCTTGCCAATGGCCACGTTTGTCAAATGATAAAAGACCTTTTCTACAGAAACATTTATTTGCTAAGTTTGAAAAATATCTATGGTTTTTGTGATGTTATGCCGTCAAGCCCTCACTACATACACAGGCCTGACCATATTTTCTATTCTGTTTATTTGTTGTATTGCCCTAAATCACAACAGTAGTTATCTCTGTGGACTTTACAGAGTTGTCGATTCGCCAACACAGATCAAACAGTTCAAACACAGGAAACTCAAAGAGGCCTTGGTCCATAAGAGGGAGATGACCAATGTTCAGAAATGTTGTTGAAGGTCCTCCCCCTTCTGCATTGGCAAGAAATACAATAGATGCTGTCCATTGTTAGTCCATGTTTTTGAAGTGTGAGTTCTTTCTTCCAGATATTTGGAGAAGGTAGACGACGACCAGTTTCAAAGAGCATGCTGGGAGCTCAAACTGACAGAGAGCGTTTGGACCATAGACCTGGCCTACCTCATGTCCCATGTGGGGGTCCGACACGGCTTTTACACTCAGACTCTGGGTGTGGACAAGGGCTTCAGAAACCAGGTACCACACATGGTCAGTGGTGATTATGGTGCCGTAAAGGGATTGCTTCATTATTTCACTGATAACGCTTTTATGACATCCCCTTTAAGAGTTGTTCACGTAGATGTAGTAAACTATGCTATGCTACTATGGCCTGGGTTCGAATCCCGGTCGGACCAGGGCCTTTCTGAGTGGAGTTTGCATGTTCTCCCCGTGTCTGCGTAGGTTTCCTCCGGGTACTCCGGTTTCCCCTACCGCAAAAAATATGTCCAATAGTTCTGGCATGTGCCTCCTGTACTGGTGACCCTGCTCCTATCTCTGTGTGGAGAGAGAGACAAATGCCCAAAAATTAACAATTGTAAACCGCTTTGAGACTCAGATCTGCAGTGAAAAGGCGGTATATAAATCATTACTTACTTACTATGCATACCCCGTTGTTTAATCTTTTTATACTATGGTCAAAACATACACAGAGATTGAATATAGATATTGTCCACTACACCCTAACCCAAATGTTGTCAGAAGAAACATGACTACTTATTTAGAGCCAGCAAAAGCTCTTTAGAATCAGTTCCCATGACATACAACCCTAACCCTAACCCTGACACACACACACACACACACACACAGAGGAGAAAAAAAGCAATGTATTCCTATATTTAACTCATAATTTATACAAACCAATAATTATTAAGCATTTTTAGCAACTTAATTCGACATCCTGCTGCGATACAATAGACCTGTAACCGTGACTTTCTAATGAAAACTGGATGTTACCAGCATGAATATTATCAGTATATGCTCAATCTGTTTGTTGCTATGGTAACGCCTCAGATGGAGGGACATGGAGCCTGTAGTTTAACATGAGATTCAAACGGTATTCATCTTCTGCAGTGTTCAGTGGATTCCTTAGTACTAACCATGGTGTCACCAGTATAATGTAGACAGAGACTTTTGACGGTATTACCAGCATTAAGAATTTTCATCTTGTCTTCTTGGTAGATTAAGATATTTGGTTTTTCTCAGACAAATGTAAAATAGCGATGTTGTTACCTTGACGTGTTTTGGAGGGATACTGCTCAGAAGTTGACTCTTTGTGGGAAGAAAAACAGATTTTTTTCCCAATTACAGCTCACAAAGGATCTTAGTTACTTCCATCATACCACAAACGCTTCCAAAAATCTCAGTTTTCTTTCACAATGTGAATACTCAAACCTTTCTGTGTTAATATAGTGCAGAAGTCAAAAGTTGTTGATAGCCCTGTCTCGCAAAGAAGCACATTTTTGTTGTATACATACTATGGGGGTAGGATTAAATAAGTTGTCTTCTTCCTACTCCCTTTCAGGCAAATATTTTGGTTTATTTTGGTTTATTTTATTTTCATGCATGTTAGCAATGCTTTACTTATTTTTATTTTTTGTTGGAAACTATGATGAACAAGAGGTGACTGCTGCCTCATGTGAAATGCCTGAAATGAATAACTAAACAAACAAACAAACAATAAATAAATTGGTTTGATGTGACAAAAAGTAGAAGAATGTTACATTACCTTGAGAGTGAGTCGCAAGTTAGACATGACATATTTCAATTTGTGGTGGTTTGTGTGTTAGGTACCTAAGCTTTAATAACTTGTGGTTATTTTAGGCCCAGAGGGGGGGACATTGTTTTAAGAATTGAAATACTTTTACTCCTTGTGCTTTTGATCCACAGGCTTTTTATAAGAAACATTTCGACACCGAGGAAGACCGAGTGAACGATTTGTTCATGAAGGCAGAGAGCAAAGGCGTCATCGTTAAGAAATGGTAATCCATATTCTCTGCATGTTTGTTCTCTCATTGTGACTGAAATCAAATCTGCAGCAGAAAGAAAACATATATATGAAAAATACTTACAATTGAACATTTGCAAAATAATTCAGTAAAATACAATCCAATATTAAAAGAATCCAGTCTCTCTCGCGGTGTGGTCCCTGCAGCTCGGTGTCGGTGGAGGAGATCCAGTCCCATCTGCAGGAGGGGCACGTGGCCATTGTCCTGGTGAACGCCGTGGTCCTGAACTGTGAGCTGTGTTCCGCTCCCGTCAAATACTGCTGCTTCCTCCCGGTGGGACAGAAGTGCTTTTGTCGGAGGCCGGAGTATCAGGGGCACTTTGTGGTGGTCTGCGGATTCAACCGGACGTCCGATAGCATCTACTACAACAATCCCGCCTACTCGGACCGTGAGTCTAAAATAGTGAACTCTATTAAATAAGTACCTGGAAAATATTTACCTGTTTTCTTTGTATTACGATCAATGGGAAAGCAGTAATAAGCACTAACGGCAAATCAAAAAATGGTGAATGTTTGGTGGTGGGTAGAGGGGCCGACGGCGCATACTGGTGGCCTTGCTTCTGTCAGTTTGCCCCAGGGCAGCTTTGGCCGCAGTAGTAGCTTATCACCACCATGTATGGAGGGAAAAACGTGCATAACATTAATCTTGTGACAAAAACCATGTGAAGTGTCTTTGAGTGTCCCGAAAAGCACAATATAAAACAGACTTATTATTATCCGTCTTACATAAAATAAATAACTAGTTAAGAACCTAACAAAACCTCTCTGTTCAGGAGTTTGCTGCACCAGTGTCGGTAACTTTGAGGAGGCTCGGCGCAGCTACGGCACAGATGAAGACATTCTAATGGTTTATAAAGACCACTGACGATTCCAGGTTTTGTAGTTTTAATTCAGCCATCAAAAGACGGTACAATATCTGGTCTCTGCTGCCGCTACCGCCAACGCCGCCGCTCCAGCCACTCCAGGCCATCGGTGCACCCGTCCCCATGGCCGCTTAGTTTCTTAAAATATTCAACATCTTGCAGGGTTTGAATTAATTAATTTATTTTCTATTATTTAGAAAAAGAAGCTATGAATTTTATTACAAATATATAGTGGCCTGAATGAAGGATCTGAAACGTTTGGACACAGTATGTGATCTGGTCTTTCCCTAAATCTCACAGATGGAAAAAAACAGTCTCTGCCGTACCTAACATAAATATCAGGGTGGTTTTTTCATATTTTCAACGTTTGCACTAACAATGACAAAAGGTCTGGCGCGTCAATCAGGAGGAATTTTTTCAGTTCAGTCATGATTCCGCAGAAGTCTGGCTTTAATGGCTGTCTTCAATGGGGCTCAGTCAGTACTTTGACTTGACCAATCCAAAACGTGTATTTTCTTCTAAAACCAAATGTATTTACTTAATTTTTACTTATTATGTACTTGTTCTACTGATGTGGTCTTAATCACAGTACCTGGTCGTTTTAGGCAGAATTGTGAGAAATTCCAACTGCTCCTGGTCCTTCTTCAGGCCCCTGTATGTGTGAATCTGTGGGTGTTTCCAATGGTTTTGAATGAATATAGTGTGTACATAATTCAGGTCTGATTGTGTTTGATATATTATTTCTCTTGTTTTTTTTATTATTTTGTGATGTGTTTATTTTCATTATGTGATCCAGAAATGGATTAAGGGGAAGAAAATCGACGGATGGGTTTTTTAATTTCAATTTCTACAATGATGATGCTACCCGAATGGATAAACTGGGAAAATAAATCTCAGGTAATCATTGCTTCTAAAAGGGATCATCCACTCAAATTACTTTGTATGTGTCGGAGTTTGTATGTACCGACTTAAAGGGGACATAACATGCAAATTTCACATTCACCCGGAGTTGTTCTTTTTAGTAGTCTATACATTTTAAGGCGTTTTAGTCCAATTTACAAATATTTTGAGTAATCTATATGTTCCCACACCAGAGCCACCATTCTCCTCTGACCACGTAACACACGACCACTGTTTTAATGTCTTAATTCTGCCATTTTTGTGTATCCTAACTTAAGCGTGGGGAAATTCCAGTGTTGCATCACAGGGCACAGGACAGTAGGGATGAGGAGCACACAAGATAAGTGAATATTTAGTGTTGCACAACTTATACTTATATTTACTAGAATAAAATCTCTGTCTTCAGCCTAATACTTTAGCTCTCGCTAACTTGATCTACAGTTCGAGCCGAGCCTTAGGTAGGGTCATGTTTACACTAACGTTGCAGGACTAGACTGGGACAAATGAGTTAAATTCTTTTTTAGCAGGACTTAGACTTACACTTTATTAATGATGTTGGAAAACATCCACGAAGTTCAAGTTCGTGGTGTTGCTGCAGTGGTGGATGTAGAGCTGCAAAGACAAATAATCCTGTTCTTTTCCCCTTAGGGATTACGAAAAACAATTATAACATTAATCTTGTTCGGGCCTAAACGGCTTATGATAATTATGGTTCCTGGACGGAAAAGGTCAATTCAAAAACACATGAGGAGCTGTACATATAAAGTGACATTAATAGTTAAGTTCAAGGTAAGATAAACCTCCAAATCCGAGGCCATGAAAAAGGTGCCTTGCCCTCTCCAGGTCCTTCCTCAAGTGGAGGAGTTCAAGTATCTCGGGGTCTTGTTCACGAGTGAGGGAAGAATGGAGCGTGAGATTGACAGGCGGATCGGTGCAGCGTGCGCAGTGATGCGGTCGCTGTATCGGACCGTTGTGGTAAAGAGGGAGCTGAGCCGAAAGGCAAAGCTCTCGATTTACCGGTCAATCTGCGTTCCCTCCCTCACCTATGGTCATGAGCTTTGGGTAATGACCGAAAGAACGAGATCGCGGATACAAGCGGTCGAAATGAGCTTCCTCCGCAGAGTGGCTGGGCGCTCCCTTAGAGATAGGGGGAGGAGCTCAGTCACACGGGAGGAGCTCGGAGTAGAGCCGCTGCTTCTCCTCGTCGAGAGGACCCAGTTGAGGTGGCTCAGGCATCCGTTCCAGGGTGGAGACCCAGAGGAAGACCCAGGACACGATGGAGCCTGGGCTTTTATTAAATTATAACTAACTTTTACCACATGTCTTCAAAATCCTGTGTGTATTTTTGAAACTCGTTTCTTCCAGAACTTGAGTGGGACCAAAGTAAGCCGCTCCATCAAAGATACATTTATAAATCAAACTTTTTCTCAGGGAACTGGAGTTTAATTAAATATTGTAAAATCTAATTTTGTGTCAAATATCAAATCCACTTTGTTTATTTAGCACATTTTTATAAAGTTTCCTAACTGCTGCCCAAAAACAAAAGAAAGTAATTTGTTTATTTTGTATGCTTTCATATATATGTTAATTTATTTTTATGGATTGGAAAAGATTGATAAAAGGATCTGAAGTTTTCGACCAATCAGGAAGCTGCAGGAGTGAGCTTTTCACACTAAATACCTATTTTCTATCTGATCAATTCGACCTTGTTTGTTCTCCTGTTCCAGTAACAATATTTTAGAATAAAAAAATATATAATCCATTCATTCACCACTGCAGCGGGATTATAACATTTAACATTTTATTTTTGATCAACTCCAAATAAATGATCATAAGCCGCCTTTTGTCTGAAGCACCACTAAACCCCCGTCTACTTTTGCAACTTTTTAGATCCATATTTTAAAAGTCGTTGCGTTGATAAAGACAGGTGATGTAAATCCAGCCCGGCCTGATACCATCGGCTGCCGTCACATTCGAGGAGGTTCTTTGACTTATTTGCGGTTGTGTGTCAAAAACAAAAAGTTGATTAGACCTGTTTTCTGGATCTTTCCTTTGTCATTACTATAACTATTCACCGTTTATTGTCAAGGTTCAAAAACAAACTATATTCCTTCCAACAAAACCTCCATAAAGTTAGATTTAGAACTTTGAGCTGGTTGATAAATACAGTAAGTCCAAATCTGCGGATCAGAAGTTGCCATTTCGCCCCAAAACCGTAAATCTGTTACATCTGAAATCTGATCCAAATAGTTTTTCTCAAGACAATATTATTATTCAAGCCCTTCAGGAAGTCTGCACTCACATTCTTGCTTTTTGATCCCTGTGTTTTATTTATGCCCTTCCCTTTCATGCCTGCCTGTTTTTTTATTTCCTTTAAGAAGCAAATGTTGGTTGCAGACAAATATAAGAAAAGAAGACACGGTTTATTTTTTACTATAGCAGCATTTATTGTTGTATGTTGTAAATAAAGCCTTGGATGTGGATGATGTAACACACTTGAGGGATGACTTTTTGTTTATTCTTTTACTATTTTGGGTTTGAAGTCTGGCGCCGCAGCTCTGGTCAGCAGCTCTGCGTATTCAGCGTATCTCCCGGTCATCTAAAAAACATGTGAACGGAACATTTCAATACATGCAACACATGACAGCGAGTTATAAATTCTGCTCTATAATGAAGGGTTTGTAAAATCACATGAATCTATGAAATGCAGGTGTATTTAGGGATGTGTTTTAAAGCATGATTTTTGACAGCACTGTTCTGACCCCAGCCCCTCCGACAAAAGAGCGACACATCCTTGTTTTGGACCCGTCAAAGATGTTTGGGTTAAAGACCTTATGCCGGGTTTAAAAAAAAAGAAATTTTGGATATCAAAATTGCATGACAATGTCGATCTGAAATAGATTCCGGCAAAAAAATCCTATATTTTATAAAAATAACGTGTTTTTCATGAATTTAAGTTGTCTATGCTCTAACCTGTGTGTGACGTCACAGCGGGTAACGCCCATGCATTGAAAACTATGGATCTATGCCACAGGACTGCCTTTTCTCTCTTCTATCCACTGATGCCCAACACAATACTGCCCTCTACAGGTGACAATTGCTCACTACACATAAATTGCCGTTTTGAGAGTGAAAATGTGTCTGAGGTGGAATTTGAATCTCAGTCTCTGGATTGGTAGTGCATCGACACAATCACTGGACTATCTCAGTGACAACGAAATATTACAATCTAGTACTAATCTCACACTCGCTGTACACGGCCTTGTCATCTTGAATATCCGCGAAAAAAGAACGAATACCAAATTGTAAACAACTTACAGCGTTGAAACGTACCCACTCTGACGTCACCAAGGGCTGTGAAGTTTTTACGTCTCTAAGGGCGTTGCTATGGGGTTATTTCAATTTGGGGGGATCAGACAAAAAAAACAACTGATTTTGAAACCTTTAGTAGTTCTCTTCTAATATAATATGGTATTCTTTTCCTCGCTGTAAAGTAATAAATGCATTTCCAACAACATAATAATAATAATAATGCATCGGTTTTATACAGGCTCAAAGGCCAACGCTCTACCAACTGAGCTACTGCCGCCCCCTCCATAACTCCATTTCCAATGCAGTTATCTCTGTTTTGAATAGAAATAAAGGCCGTGAGCTCCAGGCAGAGAGCATTATGGGGATTTACATGTATTCCATGGCCAAACCTCATCAAAGCCTGATCTGGTCACATCTCAAGCTAAGCAGTGCAGGGCCAGGTTAGTACATGGATGGGAGCCTGCAGTTTTCCCGCTCGGTTATCAACTATGGAAGCTTCGGCTTGTGTCAGCTCTCCGTCGTACAGGAGTCATTCAAAACCAAAGAATGTTGCTCAAAGTTGAGAAAGTTCTTTAGATTAAGAACGAAATGTCTGAAAAGCTGCTAACTGAAGAACAGATGAGTGAGCGACCTTCCTTTGTTATGGCCGCTGATGTTCCCAGAGCTAGAATGGCTCCAGGGTAAAACAAAGCACTTTTCCCACTAACCGTCCGTCAGAATATTCCCATCCTTACCTTGAAGCTCCACTTGTCGCTGATCTGTCGGTTGAGGTTGAGGTCCATCTCCACCACCAGGAGCCCGTCTCGAGTCCTGGACAGTCCGGGGGTGCGGCTGCCGTCTGGAGCCGCCACGTAGCTCGAGCCGTAGAAGTGTCCGAAGTCATGGTGAGCTGGACACAAGGGAGGACCTGTCTGCTGCCAGCTCATACCGCTGACTTTCATAACGTCCATAACAATCACTAAACTCACCCTTTTTGCCGTCACCAGATGTGAACTCACTCTTGAAATGTTCCTGAATAAACAATAACATTAAAATGCGATTCGATAAGACCTCCAATATTCGTCAATACTCACTGTTCCCACTCTGTTGATGGCACATGTGAAGCAGTGGTTAGCTATAGCAGCATTCCGGGCTTCTATCGGCCACATGGGCTCACTGCGGAACACGATGAATGAACTCATGTGACTTTAAAGGAGACGTATTTTTTACGCTTTTAACAAAGTTACAAAAACAAACCACGATAATATCAGAGACTTCTGGCACAGACATTAATCCATGGCATGGTTTGAAAAGTGTATCGTGTGTGGTGAGGGGTTTTACAGTCCCCTCGCTGATTTCTCCTCATGCAAATTTTTCTCGATACCGATAGTGGTACCTCAAGAATGCTATCATCGAGGTGCCACTGTACTCTGTGGCTCTCAAACACATAGCTTTCTAAATGTCTGGATTTATGGGACTCTAGGTCGAAGCTGCTGAAAATGTGTCAATCGTAATAATTGTAAAAACTATTTTCACGTGTTTGACCAGACTCCAGGAGCACACCAGACGCCAATAGATCCATGGTCTCCAGTCTAAACCCGAGTGGGGTGGAGTGTGGTGTGCTTCCTGGATCATTTCCGGACCCAGTTTTCCCTGGACCAGACAGATGCGTGCAGACCTGAGCGCGCCCACGGTGGCAGACGGGTTGAAGATGATCTCTGCTCCGTTCAGACTGAACATGAACCAGTTGAGAGGATGATGTCGCCCGTAACAAATGTTCACCGCTATCCTCCCGAACTGAGTCTGGAAAACCGTGTGGCCCATGTTCCCCTCCATGTAGTAAGTCGACTGGGAAGAGACGAGAGAAGACACATGGAAATCTAAATCAATCGTGTTTTTGACCTAAGTGTAATCATAGCTCCAGTTATTATTTTAATATTTAGTTATCTATCTATGTTTGTTGAGTGAATAATCTGAGTGCTTTGATTTTTCCTTTTATTCTTCTGTAATGTGCGCAACTATGACATCATCCCCCACTGAGGGACGAATAAAGTTTCATCTTCTCTTGAGTTACTTTTGTTCCACCACACTAATCACATCACAGTGATAGTGTTCAATTGGCAACGGTTTTAGTTGCTGCTTCAGGAGCAGAAATGGTGATAAAACAAAACAAATATACCTGTCTGCATGTCCTGGAGTAATCTTAATTGTAACTAGTGTATTCCAAAGTTTCAGCTCCCAGCCAAAAGCATCAAATAGTGACTCACAGGCTCTTTCTTAGACATCAACATGAGATAACAAGTTTTCTAAAAAGATAAAGACAGCATGCTGTGGTCTGATTTGTTCACAGACTGATGCTTTCCGGCACCAATTATCTATGAAACAAGAAAGTTAGCCACTTAATAGCTGAAGCTTTGAAGTTAAATCCCATGGAAAGATGTGTCTCTAGTTTACAGAAGTCGCCTCTGCACAACCTCGACCTTAAACAATGATAAAAACCTCGTTGAAGTCCCCGACGCGAGGGATGTGGTTCTTGCGTGTTTTCCCCATCACGTTCCCAGAGTTGGAGACGACCACGGCCGTGTTCCAGAGCGTGTCGCTGAGCTCCTCTCGCTCCAGGATGGGAGACACCACCACCATGTTGTGTTTACGAGCCAGCTGCATCACAGGGACACATGCGACATCACACACTGTACAGAGTTGGTGGAAATGGATCCCAGGAGACAAGAGCAACCAACCACTCGTTCCTCAAAAGGCCAGATCTTCAGCTGTATTTTCATTAAGTTTCATAAAGTGTGAGGTTGTTTTAAATATTACTGTTATTCCTCCTCTTCTGAACTGTGCGCTGCAACACTGGAATTCACCCATTACTCACAACCCTACAGCGACAGAGTGGAAAAGCACTGACCTCTTGGCAAAAGCGAGTGGTTTGACCGTCTTCTGCGGACTCTGCAAACTCCGTCCACGGTTCTTTCTCTCGCGTACAAAAAGCGAACGGCATGGCTGCAGAGGGAACACTTTAGTTTCATTATTAAAAACTCAAACTGAAAGAACGTCACTCACTCCACGTTTCCTGGAAGCAGAGGATGTTGACTCCGCACATCGCAGCCACCTCCGCCATTTCTCCGACTCGACGGTGCATGGCGCTGATCTGAGAAGGAGCAAACATTTCATTTCATTTCTTTATTAATTCATTCATGGTCTAATAAAGTCATCACTTTGACAATCCACCTTTTGTTGCCAGAATCTTCTTGCCTGTGACACATGTAGCTCCTAAACACTGATGCAATCCACCTGCTGGGGTTTAGCTGCTACAACCTCTCACACACAACTACTTACAGTATTTTTGCATTTGCTTTAATTTTATTGTGTTTGTTGTGGTGTTTTTTTTTCATAATTAAATTCCTGTGACAAACTGGCAACCCAATTCTCCTCTCTGATTGCTCCTACAAAGGGGGAAAAAGTAAATATTGCCAAGACCATGTTTTGGGGCAGCAAAAACAAATGCACATGTGTTCTTTAAAGGTACTTTTCCACATTCATCATATGTTGTTTGTCTTGTAATAGTAACAAATGAGGCATGGTGCTTTCTTATCTCATTAGAAAACATTGCATGCCCTGTGAGTCCCTATTTGACACTTGGGGCTGAGAGCTGATTGGCTGAGTGTGAATGGTCCTCTTGTTTTCACGATTCTGTCTGAAAACGCTGATCTAAACATGTGACAGAGACCAAAAAATACATGTAAAAACTAGCGATAGCAGTCTTCGTTTCGAGAGCTACGAGAACTATGGATGACATTACATAATCCATTCACGGTGGTTTGAAAGTAAGGTACCCCAGCTTTAAATGAATGCCCTCAGTGTGGTGTTGGTGTTGGTGTGTGTACGGGCACCTGCTCTTGCACCGGGGCGTCTGTGGGCAGGACGCTGTGGTGCTGTACGAGCCCCACACGCAGCACCCTGGGGGGTCTGAGCTGCTCCACAGACGCTCTGAAGCCAAACCCCTTCAGCTCAAAGTCCCTCTGAGCCGCACTCTCCACGGCACACAACGGCAGCTCCAGCTTCCTGAGACACAGCAGAGAATAGACTTTTAAATGGCCTGAATGAACAGACATGTTAGTGCCATATAACTGGGACTTTGAGGAGCACAGGGACTGGCCTCCTGCTGGGACTCTGAGGAGCACAGGGACTGGCCTCCTGCTGGGACTCTGAGGAGCACAGGGACTGACCTCCTGCTGGTGCCCAGAGTCAGGAATACCCATGGCGAGGCAAATCTGGTACCGTCTTCCTGAAAATATGAGACAGGCCAGGTCCAGGTTAGCTGAGGTATCTAACTTAATGTTATAATATGAAGAGTTTTTACCCAACTGTAGTCTTGTCGAAGTAAAATTTTGTAAACAAATCAGACCACAACATGCTGTCTTCATGTCATCAGAAAAGACGCCCTGTGAGTCACTATTTGACGTTTTGGGCTCAGGGTTCTGTCTAATAACGCTGATGTCACAGTTGCATGTCATAGTTAGAACATGCAATAAAATCCATCAATCATGGTTTGAAAGTTACGTACCCCAGCTTTAAACGCAGAATAATGTGGGCCTTTACACAACAAAACAAGACAGTAACTATAAAGTAACTATAGCCATGGTGTTCAAAGTTCTCTGTGCGCAATAATTGACCAAGGACGCGCGCACCATGCACCGCTCCGCCGCTCTATGGGCACAGACCGTTCCAATCCGTTCCAAACCGTTCCAAACAAATGTGGCGTAAACTCACTGCGTTTCTTTGCCGAACAGAATGCGTCTGACTTCGGCCAGCTCTGCCTCCGGGATGTGGCTCTCCAAAGTCTTCTCCAGGGACTCGAACTCGCATGAGGAGGACATGTTTACGCACGGGGCTCGGCGGACTGCGCTGCGCGTCTTTCTTCTGTGTCTGTGATCATTCAAAGGTCATGTTTGTGCTGGAGACGGTCCTGGTCCTGGTCCAAGGGGCAGGGGGTGAGACTGGATAAACCACACAGAGACATAGAGAGAGAGAGAGAGAGATAGAGATAGAGATAGAGATAGAGATAGAGATAGAGATAGAGATAGAGATAGAGATAGAGATAGAGATAGAGATAGAGATAGAGATAGAGATAGAGATAGAGATAGAGATAGAGATAGAGATAGAGAGAGAGAGAGAGAGAGAGAGAGAGAGAGAGAGAGGGGGGGGGGGTCACCTGCAGCGCGGCTTGGCCTCAGGAACGCCTGGTTTTGGAGCGTGGATCAATCCAGGAAATGGGATTGTTCATCTTCAGAACAGACGAATCACAAAGCGGTCGAGGTCCGTACAGTTAGATGTAGACAGACAGATATGTTTATAGACAGACAGATACACAGAGACACAGATACACAGACAGACAGGCAGACAGACAGACATGTTTATAGATAGGTAGATAGACAGACAGACAGACAGACAGACAGACAGATATAGATATAGATAGATAGACACACAGACAGACAGACAGATAGATATAGATATAGATAGACAGACACAGACAGACAGATATAGATATAGATAGACAGACAGACAGATATAGATAGACAGACAGATAGATACACAGACAGAGAGATGAATAGATACACAGACAGACAGGCAGACAGACAGACAGACATGTTTATAGATAGGTAGATAGACAGACAGACAGACAGACAGACAGATATAGATATAGATAGATAGACAGACAGACAGATAGATATAGATATAGATAGACAGACACAGACAGACAGATATAGATATAGATAGACAGACAGACAGATATAGATAGACAGACAGATAGATACACAGACAGAGAGATGAATAGATACACAGACAGACAGACAGAATCAGATATAGACAGATAGATATAGATATTTACACAGACAGAAAGATATATATAATTAGATACACAGACATAGATAGATATAGATAGATACACACAGACAGATAGATACACACACAGATATAGAGATAGATATAGATAGATACACACAGACAGATAGATACACACACAGATATAGATATAGATAGATACACACAGACAGATAGATACACACACAGATATAGATATAGATAGATACACACAGACAGATAGATACACACACAGATATAGAGATAGATATAGATAGATACACACACACAGACAGACAGATAGATACAGACACAGACAGACAAAGATATAGATAGATATTTCCACAGCAGACAGACATATAGCTAGATAGATAGATGGATTAGATTCATTATTAGACACAAGGTCCAAAATTTGTTTTGCACACTTCATCCATTTGACATAAACTGTAAACACGTACACAAACAGGACAAAACACCCCAAAACAAATATAATGCAATATATATATTTTTTTAATTAACAATTATAACAAGACTTTTCACTTTGCCATTTCATGTTTTACAGCGTGAAATAATATCTCATTATGTTTAACTCCCAGAGCAGTCAAAATGACGGTTTTTAGTTTTGGAAGCACAATGATTCAGGTACTTCTGAAATGGACGTGTTACTCTGACTCTGACTTCTGTTATTGTTCTATTCACTTCACCTTGACAACATCCATTTACATATAATTATGCTTTGAAGGGGCAGGTGATTATGTGTATTTTTCTCTTCTGCCTTCTCTTTTTGAAATCTCTAGAGTGCTTGAATGACTGTTGAAGTATGTTTTAGCCACTATGTACTTCTCAAAAAAAACACTCTGAACTGAACTGAACATTGTGACCACTTAATCAGGGTTAAATGACTCGTACCAACCAGATTTACACCACAACCATTGAAATGAGAGTTTTTCTGTCCATACTAAAGAGTAGAATAGAGTATTAGAGTAAAGCAGGGGTCTCCAACCTTTTTCAGTCAGAGAGCTACTTCTATACAAACGAAGAGGCAGAGAGCTACTCCTTTTGCAGTCGTAATTAAAACGCATCTAATAATTACGACAAAACACGGAAAACACATGTAAAAAAAAAACACCATAATACTGTATAACCCTATATTTATACTTAAAATAGACATGTAATGGCTCAAAATGTATTTATTGTTAATTCTAATTCATTTGGCGAGCTACCTGAGAGGGGCTGGCGAGCTCCAGAGCAACAGGAGTAAAGTAACGGTACCCAGCACATTGTCTCTCTCCACATTATTATGACAGTTTTCATTATAAAACCACAGACGCTCGGAGTTTCATTATTTATTTCTGAATCAACGCAGACTTGTTCAGTGTGAGTTTCTGGCCCTGCTCCCGGGAACCTGCCCGGGGCCACTTCTGCGTCCTCTCCGTCTGTGCTTTGTTGACAGTTTCCTCAACAGCTCTGCAGAAAGATACAGTAATGTTCAAGGTTATCTCCTGGTTTAAAGGCCACATAAAATCCATCCATCCATCCATCTTCTACCCTTTAATCCATTTCTGGGTCAGGGGGGTGACAGTCAGAGATGCCACCCAAGTCTCATAGCACCAGCCCCTCACTGACCCTCTGCAGGTGGTGAGTCCACAGGAGGACAGCTGCTCTCTGAGTGTGAGCATAGCCTTGATCTTTCAGTGGGGGTTTTGGGCAAAGTGGGGTTAAGTGTCTTGCCCAAGGACACACATAAAATCCATCCATGTAAATACAGGTGAAACTTGGTAAAAATGTTTCAAAAGGCCATTTTCTTCTGTATTTTAACTTTATTATTATGACTGCGTTATTACTCATCCATCCGATATATAGTCACTTAACCTGCGGATATTGTTACTACTGTTTATTCTGCTCATATTCTCCGCCGCAGTACAATATACACATCTGTAAATACCTCTGAATCAAGTGCAATAATAGCTCCGGAGTGTAGTTATTGATGTTATTATTGTCTATTTTATATATTAGATAAATAACAGACTCTGGTGTGTGCAATCTGAGTGCTCTTATCTCCTTTTTTCTCTTTCCCCACTGTGAGACCCATAAAAGAATACATTAAATGTGCATAAAGTGAAATATATCAAGCCCGTTTGCCTGTTTTAATGTTGATTATTATGGCTCAGGAAACCTCTCAGGAACTTATCATGTTTTGAAAATGCATGTCAAAAAGAGAAAAAGAAGTCTGAGGCACTCTGTTGTAGTGAAACAATAAAAGTCCTTTATCAAAATGGACTGCCTACGCGTTTCGACCAAAAGCGGTCTTTGTCAGGGCATTATGGTTTTGAAAATGGACGTTAAGCCACAATCATCGTTACAGTATTAGTCCCTCCATAACCTCGCCCTTTCTTCCCTCACTGACCCCCTCCATCCATCCTCCCGGTCCCTCCCGCCGCCTCAGACCCACAGAGTCCAACCTCCTCACTGTTGTGGAAAATGACTACTAATTATATTAATAACATAAGAAATGGTAGAAATACTCAACTTAGACTTAACACAGAGACATTGGCGCCGTTCCACTGAGACAAAACCAGGCTCATAAATTAGATAACTTGCACCCTTCCTCTTCCTCCTTTCACCCTTCCTGAGTCTGGGGAAACTGGAGACTGGGGCTTTGTTCTGGGCAGAGGAGTTTAGCGGGCGGGCTCGGAGGTTTAGGACTAGGATTCATTTTATGCAATTATCATGTATGTTTTTCATGACTTTATTAAACCACACAAAGACACTTGTTTGCCTCGGATCATTCTAAATTGGACCACAACATCACTCCCTCAGGACGACCCACCAAAGCTTGTGGGGACATCACTTCTTGAACCTCACCCTGTTTATTTTTATGTATTTTGTAAAGGGTCTTTGAGTGTCCAAAAAGCTCTATTTAAATGTTATGTATTATTATTATCATAACAAACACAATCTTGGCATTTTTCACTTTCCATGTAATGCGTCTACATAACATACTAGTGTCATATTTTTAGTTTAACAACAGAAAAAAATGAACTTTTGAACAATATTCCAATTCTGTGGGTTTCACCTGTTTAGGGTTTATTTAAAGAGAATTTGCGAGACTCACCTCTGAACTCCGGGTGTTGTGTTTTTGTCAACAGAGGAACATATTTATGATCTCCTTCTGCTGCTCCTGCAACAGCAGAAAATATAACAAATGTTCTTTCATTCATCCATGTTGTGATAACGGGCAGAAAGATACAGATGTGTGAGACAGGGTTGGTAAAAGAGAAAAAAATAGAAAGACAGATGACAATGTAGAACTTTCGCACAAAATCTGACATTGCCGTTTTTCATTCATTTTTGTGAAATCTTGTGACTCTCAAATCCCCTTTCAGTCTGGTGTAGATTATGAATAAAGTCATTTCTGGACTATAAGCCACAAGTTATGATGTGTAGTTATTTGAATGCTGCGGCTTATACAGCGATGCAGCTAATATGTGTGTTTATATTGTGGTAAACTTATTATTTGGACAAAGGTGATGAGTCAGGGAATGGGTCAGGGAATGGGTCAGGGAATGAGTCAAACACCTCGTTATTAAATACTGTACAAAATAGATGATCTTTTCAAATGCAGGTGGTCCGGCTCACATTGGTCCGGCTCACATACAGGTGCCGAGCCCTATAGTCCAGAAAGTACAGTGCAGTGAGTTGTGAGAGAGGGCCTCACTGCAGACTCGCAGCAGCATGTAAGAGCGTCGGCCTGTGAGCAGAGCAGAGGCCCGGCTCAGACTGCGCTCTCTGCCCTCCAGCTTCACCAGCGTCCCACTGCTGTCCATCAGCTCCACCTGCTCTGAGGAGGAACACATGCACCAGGATTTATTCATCCAAAACGTATGAACAATAGTTTTTTAATCCAAGTTAAACATTAAACAGGATGCAAAATAAAGATGAAGCATAAGTGCAGAAATGGCTGAGAAACGCCTCCGTGATTCTAATGTTTTCTAGATTTGACGAAAGTAAGTAAGTACTCTTTATCTGTGTAGCGCACGTGATAATGGTCTTATTTAGAGTAAAGTGAGATTCCATTTATCCATGAATCCAAATGTGTATGCAATTTTAGAAACCCTTTTTTACTGGTATTTTCAGAATAAAATTGGTTGATTTTTTTGAGCCTTTCTTTCCTTTGGGATCAACAAAGTTATTCCAAGTTGTTTTGCAATTTGTTTGTTAGAATTATTTGCTTTCACTTTCAAATCACCAAGGTCAGATTTTAAAGGGTGTATGACAGGTTAAAGAAATAAAAAAAAAATGTATTTAAAAAGTATTTTCCATGCTAGTTTTAAGATGAGGACATAGTTTCCATGTTGAAAACTGGACAATAACCCCAAAGTCTAAATGGTAATTTGACAGATACATATTTATTAGAGATGTCCTAATGTGATGGCCTCACTCTTGCACACATTTTTTCTTTTCCTCACAAACTGCCAATGCAAAACGCTTATTCATATTCACAGCAGACATGATTCCGAATTAGAAAATGAAATGAAAAACCTGTGGAGTCCAGGCCACAGCGCAGCTTCAGATTAGTGACAAAGTGAATGAGTTGGCAGTCCGGGTTAAACAGCTCCATTTTGTCCTCTGTCAAATACAAGACAGAAGAACCAAAAGCAGAAAGTGGAAGCAATTGGAAAAACAAAAAAACAAAATCATTATAACCTTTTCTCAATTTCAAATACTACAGAAATCTCACTAATTGCTTTTTTTTTTCATCTCCCCAAAAGTCAACAGAAGTAAAAATCAATAAAATAGAATGACATACCTCCGAACAGAACCGTGACGAACATGGCTGTGGTCAGGTTTGGGGCTGAATAGAAGCAGCGGTCTGTCCTGTGATAAAGGCCACACAAAGACCCACCTCCTGCACTTTTACAAGAGCCCAGGCCTTTGCAAAACCTTGACTCGGAATTCTTACAAAAAGTTCAAATGTCCACAACCTGCTTCAAAAAAACAACCTTTCCCTTTTGGGCTCAGCTTCTCATTCAGACGTTTGTGTTCATTCTGGATCGTTTAACAGGATATTGAGAACTGATACTGATAGAATGTGAAATGGTAGAAAAGATAGATAGTTCAGTTGCAAAAACAGAAAAATGCCTTGAAAAGATATTCAGCCCTCGTTTTTAGCCCTAGAACGATAGTCGGTCTGTCCGTGGGAGCGGATTCCTCTCTCACCCTGAGCTTTCTCACTTTTTCCCACTGGGTTTTTAAATAGAGTTCTTCCTTGCTGGAACAGGACAGTGGTGATGATCCAGGACACTCGACATTCAACAACATTTATGGACTTTTATCATCATTCACGGACATTGGGTGTTTTTTATTATTGCATTTCTTGAAAAGCTCCACTTTTCTGGTGTTTCCCGCGGGGAGAGGCGGCGAGCTGGGGTGGCCATACTCATTGCCCCCCATCTCAGCCGCCACGTGTTGGAGTTCTCCCCGGTGAATGAGAGGGTCGCGTCCCTCCGCCTCCGGGTGGGAGACAAGTCTCTCATTGTTGTGACGGCCTACGGGCCTAACGGCAGTGCAGAGTACCCGGCCTTCTTGGAGTCCTTGGGAGGGGTACTGGACAGTGCACCGCCCGGGGACTCAGTTATTCTCCTGGGGGACTTCAACGCCCATGTGGGAAATGCCAGTGACACTTGGAGAGGGGTGATCGGGAAGAACGGCCCCCCTGATCTGAACCCGAGTGATGTTCAGTTGTTGGACTTCTGTGCTAGTCACAGTTTGTCCATCACGAACACCATGTTCGAGCACAAGGGTGTCCACCAGTGCACGTGGCACCAGGACACCCTAGGCCGGAGGTCGATGATCAACTTTGTTGTTGTATCATCTGACCTTCGACCGCGTGTCTCGGACACTCGGGTGAAGAGAGGGGCGGAGCTGTCAACCGATCATCACCTGGTCATGAGTTGGATCCGCTGGCAGGGCAGGAGGCCGGTCAGACCTGGCAGACCCAAGCGTGTAGTAAGGGTTTGCTGGGAACGTCTCGCTGAGCCCCCTGTCAGACGGACTTTCAACTCACACCTCCGGGAGAGCTTCTCCCAGGTCCCGGCGGAGGAGGGGGATATTGAGTCTGAGTGGACCATGTTCTCTTCCTCTATCGCCAATGCGGCGGCTCGTAGCTGTGGTCGCAAGGTCTCTGGTGCTGGTCCTGGCGGCCACCCCCAAACCCGGTGGTGGACACCGGCAGTAAGGGATGCCGTCAGGCTGAAGAAGGAGTCCTATCGAGCCATGATGGTTCGAGGGACTCCTGAGGCAGCTGTCCAGTACCAGCAGGCCAAGCGTGCCGCGGCCCGGGCTGTTGCAGAGGCAAAAACCCGGGACTGGGAGGAGTTCGGAGAGTCCATGGAGCATGACTATCGGTCGGCCTCAAAGAGGTTCTGGCAAACCGTCCGGCGCCTCAGGAGGGGGAAGCAGTTCTTTGCCAACACCGTGTATGGTGCGGGTGGAGGGCTGCTGACCTCGACTGGAGATATTGTCGGACGGTGGAAGGAATACTTCGAGGTTCTCCTCAATCCCCCCGTCACGTCCTCCGTCCAGGAGGCAGAGGCTGAGGATGTTGGGGCGGATACTTCCATCTCCCTGGCCAAGGTCACCAAGGTGGTTGGCAGCCTCCATGGTGGCAAGGCGCCGGGAGTGGATGAGATCCGTCCTGACTATCTAAAGTCTCTGGATGTTGTAGGACTGTCTTGGCTGACACGTCTCTGCAACATCGCGTTGCGATCGGGGGCGGTGCCAATAGAGTGGCAGACCGGGGTGGTGGTCCCTCTCTACAAGAAGGGGGACCGGAGGGTGTGTTCCAATTATTGTGGGATCACACTCCTCAGCCTCCCCGGTAAGGTCTACTCCAAGGGACTAGAGAGGAGGCTACGTCCGATGGTCGAATATCGGATTCAGGAGGAGCAGTGTGGTTTTCGTCCCGGTCGCGGAACACTGGACCAGCTCTATACTCTCCATCGGATACTCGAGGGTTCATGGGAGTTCGCCCAACCTGTCCACATGTGCTTTGTGGATTTGGAGAAGGCGTTCGACCGTGTTCCTCGGGGTGTCCTTTGGGGGGTCCTCCGGGAGTACGGGGTCCGGGGTCCTCTGCTGAGGGCCGTCCGGTCCCTGTATGACCGGAGTCAGAGCTATGTTCGCATTGCCGGCAGTAAGTCAGACCTGTTCCCGGTGAATGTTGGCCTCCGCCAAGGCTGCCCTTTGTCACCGGTTCTGTTCACTGTATTTATGGACAGAATTTCTAGGCGCAGCCAGGGGTCGGAGGGGGTCCGGTTCGGGGACCACAGGATTTCATCTCTACTTTTTGCGCATGATGTCGTCCTGCTGGCTCCAACGAACCAGGACCTGCAGCATGCACTGGGACGGTTTGCAGCCGTGTGTGAAGTGGCTGGGAGGAGAATCAGCACCTCCAAATCCGAGGCCATGGTGCTCGACCGGAAAAAGGTGCCTTGCCCTCTGCAGGTGGGTGGAGAGGTCCTTCCTCAAGTGGAGGAGTTCAAGTATCTCGGGGTCTTGTTCACGAGTGAGGGAAGGATGGAGCGGTCTCTGTATCGGACCGTTGTGGTAAAGAGGGAGCTGAGCCGAAAGGCAAAGCTCTCGATTTACCGGTCAATCTTCGTTCCCTCCCTCACCTATGGTCATGAGCTTTGGGTAATGACCGAAAGAACGAGATCGCGGATACAAGCGGTCGAAATGAGCTTCCTCCGCAGAGTGGCTGGGCGCTCCCTTAGAGATAGCGTGAGGAGTTCAGTCACACGGGAGGAGCTCGGAGTAGAGCCGCTGCTTCTCCACGTCAAGAGGAACCAGTTGAGGTGGCTCGGGCATCTGTTCAGGATGCCTCCTGGACGCCTTCCTGGGGAGGTGTTCCGGGCACGTCCCACCGGGAGGAGGCCCCGGGGAAGACCCAGGACACGCTGGAGGGACTATGTCTCTCAGCTGGCCTGGGAACGCCTTGGGGTCCCCCCGGACGAGCTGGAGGAGGTGTGTGTGGATAGGGAAGTCTGGGCGTCTCTGCTTAGACTGCTGCCCCCGCGACCCGGCAACAGATAAAGCGGAAGAAAATGGATGGATGGATGGATGGCATTTCTTATGTTTAAACGGTTTGATTCTCTGATCTGTGTTGGCGAATTCGACGGTTTTGTAAAGTCCTCCGAGATAACTGTGGTGATTTAGGCCTATACAAGAATACACTGAATTTATATGAATATTTGAAAGGCATGTAATTTTCTCTTTATCATGTGGTTTTTGAAAAGCCAGATCTTTTTCAGTGCCATACACATAATGTTTCACCCCTGCTTTGAAGCTAAGCAGGGCAGTGCCTGGTTAGTACTGTGATGAGAGACCTCTGGGAACACCAGGGGCTGCAGAGGGCCGACTGTAAAGTGCTGAACTGTTCTTGTGTCCTTATGCAAGACACTTCACCCACATTGCTCAGTATGACTCTGGTGTGTGTGAGAGCAGGGGCTGATGGCACATAATTGTCTCACTTCTGTCAGTGTGCCCCAGGGCAGCAGTGGCTACAGTTTATCAACACCGTGTATGGAGTGAATGAATAATGAAGTGTGAAGCGTCTTTGAGTGTCCCAAAAAACTGTGTAATTGTTAATGTTTGTGTGCATGGTCTACTCTTGGGTTAATTCTATAGGCATTCTTTCACACACAGGTCCACACGTTGTTTAAAAAGGCCACAGGGAGTATTTCAGACAAGGGAACTAACAACGGTTTGGTCTTTGTTGCCATGGAGAATTCACACAAAGGTTTTACTGGTGTAGACTGTGAAAAGCTTTATAGAACATTTATAACAAAAACAGTTTATTTTTACACCAGTCTTTAAAATGACAAATCTATGACGTGCACAGCTGTTGTTCTGGATTTTATGAGAGCGCATTATTTGATCTAAGGTGTATCTTTGCGGCCTGTAGATGGCGCCATAGATCTGCCTTCAAAAGGACTGTATGAGGGTCACATGCTGCATCCTGTTTACACTACAAACATGTGAGAAAGGCCTCTTTATGGCCATTCATGTCCCAAGAATGACATTGGGAACGGGAAATAGACAGTAGTTGACTTTCAAAAACAATAATAACATGCAAATCTGAGCAAACGCACTTTATCCATCAAGGAAAACTAAACAAAATTTTAAAAAATGACAATAAAAGGTGAATGAAAAAAAGGAAAATGTGTCCAGAGAAGCTAAAAAGTCAGAAAAATAAGCACAGACACTTTTCCGTTCCAAAGAAATTCCTGGATCCAGACACTGATCCGAATCATTTAAGAACATATTTTTTTTCCCCATTATTGATATATTTGTGTTTCACTTGATCACTAGTGAGTCAGTGAAAAGAGTGAATCTGGGCTACATCCAAAAACATCTAAAAATACGTCCTCCCTCGTCCTTAGTGTTCATAATGGTTAACCCTGAGTTGTGGTCAGGATATAGGAACCTGCACTGCTGATGATCACTAAAAAATGAGTTCACAGCGCCCTCCTCTGGCTGAATTGTGCCAAAACGCAAATATATTAAGCATAATAATCCAGACTTTTAAAACACAATAAAAACTCCGCCCTAATGTGAAATCAGACATTAGACGCAGCGTTCTTTCCCTTTTTCCGAGGAGGAAGTTGGAGCCTTTGAGTTTCCGAAATAACACTGTATTTTCGGTTTTAGTCGGCTACAAGTTTAGATAATTTTAAATGCTGAAAACCATATCATGTATTGTAAATAATTACGCTGGAGTTTGGGTTTAGGAGCCCGTAAAAACACACTTTGACTGACAAAAGAATGACAATATTTATTATCAGCAGTTGATGCTTGTGACTACTGTGTGTTTGCAGTCACAGTTTGGCATGGACACAAACGCCAGAGTCTGCAGCTGTGCAAAACAAAACGTGGATATCTAGATACAATTTGTAGATAAAACATACAAAATAAATAAACACAATTTTCCGTCCACTGTTTGTGTGATGCCCCAAAAGGCAGTGAACAGTTCAAGACCATGGTGTGATAGTGCAGATGAACACATTTATCCCTGAAAACAAACTTGTGTGACTTATAATAATATAATAAGGTCCATTGTCTGCGTGGTTTCACAAATAAATCCCAAAAAATACTAAAAATGTATAAATTGTAGTTCTTTCGAAGCACTTTGAACTTTCTCCAACAATCATAATAGACATTGAATCTAAATGTCAAAGTTTATCTGAACAATGAGACATTCCTTCAACATCCTTACCCCCAATAGGACCCATGTTTAGTCTACTATCCTTGAGTGATGTAGCTTCCAGGAATAAGATGGATTTTAGCATTTAGAATATTTTGCTAAAAATTCAAGCATAGTCAGTAGAAAGCAGTGAACAGTGCTGGAGTCACCCATAACTTTTAACTTATACCTAACAAAGCCAATTATAACGCTATACCTATCTCCTTAGGTAGGAATCTGGAGCCAAATGATCGTATAACAACCTCATAGCGACCAAAGCACCAATCAGAAAACACAGAGCTGGTCCATTTCTGCTCTTTCTAGGATCCTAGGATAGAAGATACCAGATGGCTCCGTTATTACTGGTCACCTATGGATTTACAAAGACAAAAATATAATATATTAAACTATTTTAAATCAAAAAGAGGCACTTATTTAACAATGAAGCACATTTTTCACCGATGCAAACTTTACTATTAGCTTCAGCTCTGTCCATTACTTACAGAAAGTCTATGGATCCAACACACTTTCTTAAAATCATTGTCAATTGGTATCTCTTCTGTGTCACAATGAGCCAGCCTCCAGCTCGGTCAGACAGTGCATTTCCCCGGTGTGCTTTATATGCTGGCTCCTCGGGATCGGACACACACTTTTCATGGGACACAAAGCTTTCGGACAATGAGAAGACAGGATGACGGACAGAGAGGAGTGCGCCACGGAAACCAGCCCTCCCCCTAGTGGCGCCACAGGGCCACTGCGCTCACAGGAACACTCGCAGCCGTTCCCATTACCGCCATGTGGATACTGGTGCGGAAACTCCTCCAAGCTCATCCCGTTGCTCCTCAGTCGTATCGAGTCGCTGATGCTGTGGTGAATGGACATGCGGTGGTTGCCTCTGCTCTCAATCTGCTCCTTTTTACCCAGAATGTGACGGTGAATGATTTTGTGAAACGTCCGCCGGAACTCTCGGATGCGGTACGCGTAGATGAACGGGTTGATCACAGAGTTGCCGTGCGAGAGGAGGATGGCAAAGTTCAGGAGCCAAAGAGGCGGGCGGGTGCAATCCGGGCAAAATAAGGTGAAGCAGTTGATTATGTGTAAAGGAAGCCAGCAGACCGCGAACAGACCCACGATTATGGCCAGCGATTTGGCAGCCTGGACTTCCTTTTGCAGCGTGGAGCGGGATTTCTCGCCGTGGATGACCTTGAGTTCCATCAGTTTGAGCTGGTGCCGCGCCGCCATGAAAATGCAAAGGTAGATCCCCAGCATCAGCAGGAGCGGGATCAAAACGCAGCCGAAGAAGTTGAAGTAGACCATGTAGCTCATGTTCACCACGGATTCGAAGAGGCAGTTCATGTATTCGGGGGGACAGGGGGGTTCTGGGGGTGATAAGGGTTGGCCTTCTTTAGACATGTGCCAGCCCATCATGGGGGTGAGGCCGATGACGATGGACAGTACCCAGCAGATGGCGATGATGCCCTGAGCTCGCTGGCCCGTCACGAGACTGTTGTACCTGGAAAAGACAAAACAAGACTTAAAATGAATGTCAATGAGAGTGGAGTGGTGATGCAGTGGTTAGCGTTTGTGCCTCAAGAAGATCCTGGGTTCGATTCCACCTCTGGACATTTCTGTGTGGAGTTTACATGTTCTCCCAGCGTCTTCTCAGGTTTCCTCCGGGTGCTCGGGTTTCCCCTACCACTAAAAATAAGTCTGGCATGCGGCTTCTGTACGGCGACCTCACTCCCATCTCTGTGTGGAGTGAGAGACAAATACTCACAACAATTGTAAAGCGCTTTAAGACTCTGATCTGTGAAAGGCTCTATATAAATAAAGATGACTTCATGGGACTTATAATTACTTTTCAAAATGAGAAGAGAGAGTCAAACTTTTTGGAGACGAGCACTGGTTAGTTCCACCAATGCTCACTCCGCAGCTTTCGGTCAAAATTAATTAAAATATTTGAGGCCCTTTGTCATTGGTGTAACTATTCTCCTGCAGAAGATCTTACAGGCCGCGGTTATGCCAAGGGGAGGGACTGTTTAGATATGTTATTGTTGAAAAACACTTAAATAGTACAGTGTCCCATGGTCAGAAATATACATTATTTAAAATAATATTATAATTTTAATTGACACCACCTTTAATAGAGAGGACTGCACACAGATTCTGGTGGGATCAGAGCCATTGTTTGGACTTTAAACTCTGTTAATAATCCATCAGTCACACACTGAGAGAGTTTGAGGAGCACAGGACGTGGACGAAGACAAAGGAGAGATCGCTGCAACAAAAGTCATGTATCTTATCTAACATTTCATGACGAGGTTTTGACAATATTTTCAATGTTAATTTAAATTTTCATACAACTGATGGAAAAAAGAGAAAAAGAAAGAAAAACGGGAATCAGGAGAAAATAAACTAATAATAAAGATGGTCACAGAAATCCCACAGCAACAGAACCAAGAACCTCATTATGAAACATCGACAAAATAATAAAAATCATGATTTAAACACCTTTTTGGTTTGCGGCAACCAGTGGGGGCGGGTCCCGGCTCAAAAGTGGACAAAATGACGTGCGCTGACATGCTGCAATACCACCCCGGGCCTGTGGGGGTGGACCCGGAAACAGAATTAGCCAATGCTAACATATAGCATTAGCAGACCTCTGGAAAACGTCTTTACAGGATGGTCCAAAAGTTGGCTCTTGGCCCAAAGCTCCGTTCCACATGTGTGTCAATGCTGAGGGAGTGTTTTGGACCACTCTAGTTTACTCGCTGTGAATTTTTGAAGTCTCTCGTGCAGCTGACGCATGCGCAGATGCATTTTTTCACATTTTCCAGCCCTCGCGGCCATTTTGATTCACTCCATGAAAGCCTAATTTTTGGCCCATTAGTTAGAACGGTGTAGATAGGCCTGACTACGTCTTATATACAGTCTACGGCGGCAACACTCAACACAGACTGGGAATAATTTGCAGCAACACAGGAACAATATCGGATTACTGTCACACAAATTGTAAATAATACATACAAATAAAAGATAGAATAGAATGAGGGTAGGACAGATTACAGCTTGAGTTTGTTGCTCCTGCTCCGAGGCCCCCCTCCTCCCCCCCTGAGGGCAGAAACACATACTCACTGCTGAGATCAGGGTCAGTCTAACACTGCCTCAATTGGTTTGCAGTGTTTCAGCACCGTCTGCGAATCAACGGGTTGCTGAAATACTCCTGGTAGTGCCTAGACAAGGTTTTGGCATTACTTTGGGAATTTTGTGCTACAGCGCTCATATAAAATCCTTTCCACTCTTCGGAAAATCGTCCATTGAACTAACCTGTGTTTTAACTGTGTTCATATTAGTAACTAGTTTCATTATGTGTCACAGTCGTCCCGTTTTTGAATGTGTGAAAGTTGTTTACCATTTCCTGCTTGGGTTTTCCCCTTACATATCTTAGTTGATGTTTAAGCTGTTTCTGCCACTTGGGACCAAGCTGTATAAATGTATCTACACACTTGATATTCCGTGTTTATGCATCGGTTAATTTACATTTTTTGTATATATAAGTATATGAACATCTCTATTGCCTTTGATTGCACAGTAGAGTGTTTTAAGTCTCGTCTTAAGACCCACTTTTACTCTTTGGCTTTTAACACTGCGTGAGTTGTGTGGTCCTCTGTGTTTTTATTTTATTTTATTTCTATTTATGGTTTTAATCTGTTTTATATATTTTTATTCTTTTTTACTTGGTGAAGATAAGGATAAGTTGTTATTTATTTTATACTTTTTTGTGCAGCACTTTGGAAACGTAACTGTTGTTTAAATGTGCTATATAAATAAAGTGGATTGGATTGGATTGGATTGCTGCATACAGTAAGTGTTGAACTAATAATATAAATAGTAAATAGCCTTTGTATGGTTCTGAAAAGTCTATTTTGGTGCTGGCTGGGCGGCAGTGTGGGAGAGCAGCTGAGATATTTCACTTGTTGAATCACATTCTTGGGAAGTGAAAGAGCAAAGGGTTAAAGTCCATAAACAGCCCCCGACAATCTGATGAGACAATGTAGACTGGAGTGAGCCAGAGACCAGCAGCAAGGACTACCATGTGACGATGAGACAGAGACAAGCAGGAAGGACTACCATGTGATGATGAGACAGAGACAAGCAGGAAGGACTACCATGTGACGATGAGACAGAGACAAGCAGGAAGGACTACCATGTGACGATGAGACAGAGACAAGCAGGAAGGACTACCATGTGACGATGAGACAGAGACAAGCAAGAAGGACTACCATGTGACGATGAGACAGAGACAAGCGGACTACCATGTGACGATGAGCCAGAGACAAGCAGGAAAGACTACCATGTGACGATGAGACAGAGACAAGCAGGAAGGACTACCATGTGACGATGAGACAGAGACAAGCAGGAAGGACTACCATGTGATGAGCCAGAGACCAGCAGCAAGGACTACCATGTGACGATGAGACAGAGACAAGCAGGAAGGACTACCATGTGGTGATGAGCCAGAGACAAGCAGGAAGGACTACCATGTGACGATGAAACAGACAAGCAGGAAGGACTACCATGTGACGATGAGACAGAGACAAGCAGGAAGGACTACCATGTGACGATGAGACAGAGCCAAGCAGGAAGGACTACCATGTGACGATGAGACAGAGACAAGCAGGAAGGACTACCATGTGATGATGTGACAGAGACAAGCAGGAAGGACTACCATGTGACGATGAGACAGAGACAAGCAGGAAGGACTACCATGTGAGGATGAGACAGAGACAAGCAGGAAGGACTACCATGTGACGATGAGACAGAGACAAGCAGGAAGGACTACCATGTGACGATGAGACAGAGACAAGCAGGAAGGACTACCATGTGACGATGAGACAGAGACAAGCAGGAAGGAGTACCATGTGATGATGAGACAGAGACAAGCAGGAAGGACTACCATGTGACGATGAGACAGAGACAAGCAGGAAGGACTACCATGTGACGATGAGACAGAGACAAGCAGGAAGGACTACCATGTGATGATGAGACAGAGACAAGCAGGAAGGACTACCATGTGACTGTGAGACAGAGACAAGCAGGAAGGACTACCATGTGAGGATGAGACAGAGACCAGCAGGAAGGACTACCATGTGAGGATGAGACAGAGACCAGCAGGAAGGACTACCATGTGAGGATGAGACAGAGACAAGCAGGAAGGACTACCATGTGACGATGAGACAGAGACAAGCAGGAAGGACTACCATGTGAGGATGAGACAGAGACAAGCAGGAAGGACTACCATGTGATGATGAGACAGAGACAAGCAGGAAGGAGTACCATGTGAGGATGAGACAGAGACAAGCAGGAAGGACTACCATGTGATGATGAGACAGAGACAAGCAGGAAGGACTACCATGTGACTGTGAGACAGAGACAAGCAGGAAGGACTACCATGTGACGAGACAGAGACAAGCAGGAAGGACTACCATGTGACGATGAGACAGAGACAAGCAGGAAGGACTACCATGTGACGATGAGCTAGAGACAAGCAGGAAGGACTACCATGTGATGATGAGACAGAGACAAGCAGGAAGGAGTACCATGTGAGGATGAGACAGAGACAAGCAGGAAGGACTACCATGTGACGAGACAGAGACAAGCAGGAAGGACTACCATGTGACGATGAGACAGAGACAAGCAGGAAGGAGTACCATGCTGATGATGAGACAGAGACAAGCAGGAGCTTGAATCAAAGTGTACTTTCACTTGACCAATTTATCAGGATAAGGACTATATAATTGTTATTGAGAGCTTTGTATCGCACATCGTATCGTATCGTGCGGTCCCCCTAATGTATGGTTTGTGCTCCACTTCCCCTCCTGTTTTTCAGGGTAGGGGGCGCAGACAAGGCACAACTCTCTCTGCTTCTTTATATCAAGACCGGTCTCTTCATCAAAATGTTCTTATTTTGATCAGAAAAAAACCACCCAAAAAAATAAAACACTGGATATCTTTCTCCATTTCCCCCTCTCCTTCTCTTCTTTAAACAGCACTTGCTGAAGAGAAAGTACATTTTGTCCAGATACAGCCCACACTTCATTATAAGACACCAGTTTTCATGTTGTAAAGTCGCACTTAACCACGACTATTGAACTGGACATAACATGATATATTGACTTGTGATGATCAAAGCACTCTGGTAACACAATATATTTTGACAATAATATTCCAACTGAAACTTGATGTAGTAAAATGTTCTAACCTCAGCCTTATTCACATAAAAACAAGACCTGTGTATTTCCTTGCATTTCTCCGTTTATCTGCCTTCTCTGCTGTTCACATAAACACACCGGGAAGCAGCTGCTGGAGCTTTGTCCAAATCTCTTCTGTTACCCCAGGGGGAGTTATGGAACAATATGGAATTACATATGTTGGCCTTCTCACTATTTAGTTCAGCAGGTACAAGTGTGTTTCACCAACTTTATAGACAATAGTCCATAAAAGGGCCCCCGGGTGAAAATCAATTTGTCAAAACCGGCCAAGACTGTATGTTGCTAACAGACAGACAGACAACTCCTGGTGAAAACATAACCTTGGCAGTGGAAATTATGAGCACAACTGTATAGAGCTCATTGCAAAAAGGATAACTTATGTTGAATGGGAAGAGTTGAATCTCCTCTTCATTGTCTGCCGGCGCTGTCTGAATGTACGAGACAGATATGAGCTATGTAAGCACGGAGGCTGTACATACAAGTGTGTTTGGTCTGTTCCGTATCCGTGTTTGACTTACAGGAGATAAGTCATGTGGAGATAAGTTGTCAGTTAGTACTTTTACCACTTTTGGTCTTGTTGCCCCACGCAGGCTGTGTTATTTTTCCTGTTTGCTTCAACTCAGCTTCAGTTGTCGCATTACTTCCTCTGACAAAATATACTACATTACCAGTGTAAAGTGTTGGACAGTTGGTTACACACATATAGAAGTTTTAAAATAAAAAGTGTGGTGTTTTTATGATGGTTATGATAGTTGCTAAGGCTAGCAGGTTTCTGAAGGAAGGCATCTGATTGATAAATCTGTATGGCTCATATATGGATCTACAAAGCCAATACAAAAATAAAAAAGAAAGAACTACATTCCGATTTTAAAGCCTATAAAGGTGAGTGTGACATAAACAAGCCCTGGCAATCCAAGATGTCTGCCCTTTCAAATCAATGGCCTGTCCTTATTGGCTTCAGCTTGCAATACCTTATCCAGATAATATGGAACATCCATGGACACAAACAGTTAATTAGCTAGAAGAGTTCACTTTTCAATGTAAGTTAATAGGAGCCAGAGTGAGTTGGAGCAAAACTTTGTCCATGAGCATCTCCCTTGTGCTTCGTAGTCTTGTCCATCTATATACAGTCTATGGTCACAAGCAGTAGTGGCCTTATTCCCATTATATATTTATTGTTATGAATTTGTAAAGCATATATAACATATTATAGTAATAGTTTACTGGTGCAGTACTGTGGACCAACTCAAGTCAGTGAGTGTGAGTGCATCAGTTTTGTGGAAGTAATGCGTTAAATGTATATTGTCAGTAAATATAATATTCCCAACATGAGTGACCCGAGTGAACGCTTTCACAAAAACTCATTTTCACATCCATATTTCATCCTGGGGTTATGAAAGCAACATTCTTCCACAAAAGAAAACATCTAATCTTCAAAAAGCATCAAACGGCCCATTTCAGAGTTAGGTCCTGAAGTACATGGGGTTATGGAGAGGATAGGCCGTCTGCAAAAACCATCAGCCTCTTTGTATAACTGCCCCACAGAGACGCTGTCCTCAGGGAAAGGCATTTAGGACATTTTTCACTTGAGCCAATTCTGTCTTCTCCAAATGTCAATGAAATGAACGATGGGATTTGAGACATACTAATAAGGAAAACACAATATTGAGAAACGTTCAAAAGGACAAATACATAGAAGATTGGAGTAGAAAAACGTTATGAAGGTGAAATTTTGTTTTTCATAAAGATATTTTCCTTTCAAGCAAAAATGGCATTGGCCAATTATCTGCCCAAAATTTAGAATAGAAAATTAGAATAAAATAAGTTAAAAATACTAGACAGTGCTCGGAGAAGCATCTTGGGTGTAGGAGAAGTAAGTTATTAAGTAATAAATAAGTAAATAAGTCAGTCAGTCAGTAAGAGAGGATTAAAACAACAAGGTGTTTAAACCATACATCTGCACTTCTGAGTTGTTTAATCTGTTCTTACCATGGTCAAAACACTCATAATGTTTAAGAAAATATATATATAGTTGATTCTAAGATAAATGATAAGTGTTATTCTAAGATAAATGCTTCCAAACTGGATTCTGGGTGTAAATAATGACATTTTTCAAGATAACTAATGTTGTGATTTAGGGCTTTACAAGAATAATTTTAATGGAATTAGGGGATTTCACAATTCAATATTCAATAAATCTTTAATTCGGACACAAAAAGCCCCATATAAATCGTTAAAAACTGGCACAATAAAGTCAGGGTCAGGTAATGCTTCCACTGGTATGAGCCAATTAGAAGCAAAGCCAGTATAATTCTACTGTTTGCTAGTTATCTGAGTCGTAAAAAGTAAAATAGTAAATTTTTATGGCACTAGCAAAAATCAACAGTCCAATTGCAATCTATTGAGCAAGATGCATGTAAACCTGTGCGCTCTGATTAACAAAGTAATATCGAACCACGGACACAACTGAGACAAGGCCTGCAGATGTGTCACCGGTATCTGGGAAGGATGAAGCGATTACCTGGTCGGGGTCATTGGAGCCAGAGAGAGGCGCGTCTACCTGGCCCAGGCCGCACACGCCGCACACGCCGACCCCGCTGCTGCTACAATCCGAGCGAGCACATCGACCCTCCAGTGCTCCAGTCAGCGCCCGGGTGTGCGGAACACACCACCAACAACCGCAACATGCCCGCGGACCGTCCCTGCTCCACAGCCACGGAGAACATTCCACCAGCTTCTCTCTCGGACCACACCACATCCACCGACTGCATCATCACGGCACACATGGATTACGTCATCAGAATGCGACCGGCATCAGACCACATAAACAAAAACAGCGGAGACATGGAAAACGCGGGGTGGATTTTCGCCTGCTCCGCACTCTTCCAAAACATAAGCCCACTTCTGAATTAAAAATAGATCTGCTAAATAGTCAATCACTCTCCAATAAAACTAGTTTGATTCTGGATCATATTCAGGATAAAAAGTTGGACATGTTGTGCCTCACTGAGACCTGGCACAAACCTGGTTCATACATTTCTTTGAATGAAGCCTGCCCCCCAGGGTTTACATATCTGGAGAAGGCTAGGACCACTGGTCGTGGTGGAGGGCTGGCTGTCATACATCACAGGGACTTACCTGTAACCCCCCTCCCACTTCCAGAGCTTACAACATTTGAAGCCCTTCTTTTCAAATGCAGACCACAAAATAAATCAATTTTAACGCTCCTCATCTACCGCCCTCCAAAACTCAACTCCGGCTTTATCACTGAATTGCGAGATCTACTCACTTCCCTCTGTGCTACTTCCCATAATACACTCATTCTGGGAGATTTCAACATCCACATTAAATCTACAAATAATCGTCTTGCTGCAGAATTTCTCGAACTCTTGGACTATTTACATCTATCACAACATGTCTCAGAACCCACCCACACAAAAGGCCATATTCTTGACCTTGTTATAACAGACAACGTCCCCATCTCCAACCTGCAAGTTTATGATTTGGGGGTGTCCGACCACAAATTAATTTCCATGGTACTGCCCTTAGCCGAAACACAAATTAAAACAAAGCGCCAAATCAGTTTCAGAAATTTAAAGGCAATTGACTCCACCCGCATTAACCAGGACATTCATAAAATCTCTCTAGTCACACAATTCACTTCTGTAAATGAAACTGTCACTCATTACAACTCCAGCCTCCGCATTATCCTTGATTCTCATGCACCAGTTAAAACCAGAACAGTCACATTTTCCAGAACAGCCCCATGGTACACACCTGAACTCCACAATATGAAGACAGCTGGCCGAGCCCTCGAGCGGCGCTACACCTCCACTGGCTTACTAGTCCACAAACAGGCATACCGTGAACACCAAAAAACATATACCAGAGCACTCACCACTGCAAGATCCTGCTATTTTTCACAAAAAATCTCAGATAGCACTGGCAATTCAAAACGATTATTTTCTGAAATAAACACTCTGGTCAAACCTCACACACACACACTGTCTGACACCAGTACGGACCATTGCAATAGGTTCATGGACTACTTCACCAACAAGGTAATGTCAATCCGGTCTGCCCTTCCTTCCACTACCCCATTTCCAACTGACATAATCTTTCCTAAGCCGCCCAACACCTTTACCTCCTTCTTGGATATCTCCCAGTCTGAAGTGGAGAGGATCATAAGCAGCATGAAGCCCTCCACCTGTCTGCTGGATCCTCTCCCCACAACACTTTCAAATCAAACTTTTCCGCCATTAGCCCATTAATAACAGAAATCATTAACCAGTCACTAAAATCCGGTCAGGCCCCCCCAGCTCTCAAAAATGCAGTAATCCGCCCTCACCTGAAAAAACCTTCACTTGACCCCAACATCCTAGCCCACTACAGACCAGTCTCAAACCTCCCATTCCTCTCCAAAGTCCTCGAAAAAGCAGTAGCAGCCCAACTCCACAATCACTTACGCTCCCATAACCTATATGAGAAATTTCAATCTGGTTTCCGCTCAGCCCACAGTACAGAGACAGCCTTGGTCCGCGTCATGAATGACCTACTCATGACTGCGGACCGGGGCTCACCCTCTCTCCTCCTCCTCCTCGATCTGTCAGCAGCTTTTGATACCGTGGACCACACCATTCTCCTCCATAGACTACAATCAGTAATTGGACTTTCACAGACAACACTCAAATGGTTTCATTCATATCTCACTGACAGAACAGAATATGTGTCCCTAGGCCAGTACAAATCGTCAACCCATTCAGTTACCTGTGGGGTACCGCAAGGCTCAGTCCTCGGGCCAACCCTTTTTACAATATACATGCTCCCCCTTGGTCAAATCATAAACAGACACAACATTTCTTTCCACTGCTACGCCGATGATACACAGTTATACCTGAAAATGGACTCCACTTCACCCACAGGTTTTACGTCAGCCCTTCAGCTTTGTCTGGAGGAGATAAAGGCATGGATGGACAACAATTCTCTTCAACTTAACAGTGGTAAAACTGATGCAATCCTCTTTGGCACCCCCCACCAAACCCAGTCCTCCCCTCTCAGTAGTGTTTCAATTTTTGGCCATAACATCCCCCTGTCCACATCTGTTAATAACCTTGGAGTCAGGCTCGACTCTAATTTTACATTTGATACCCACATCCGCCACCTCTGTAAAGTCTCCTTCCTTCACCTCAAAAACATTGCCAGACTCCGCTCCTCCCTCTCACAACCGGACGCTGAGAAGCTGATCCATGCCTTTGTCTCCTCCAGGTTGGATTACTGCAATGCCCTCCTCGTCGGGACCTCTGCAAAGGGTCTGCAAAAACTCCAGTACATCCAGAACTGTGCTGCCCGGGTCCTGACGAGGAGGCGCAAATATGACCATATCACACCCGTCTTTAAATCACTCCACTGGCTGCCCATCAAACACAGAATACAGTACAAACTCTGCCTCCTCACATATCAATGCACACACGGAACTGCCCCTGCCTACCTCAGTGAACTCCTAACACCACACACCGCCTCTCGAAGTCTCCGTTCAACCACCTCCTCCCACTGCCTGCACCAACCCAGGACCAAACTCTCCACCATGGGAGATAGGGCCTTTCAGGCAGTAGCCCCCCGGCTCTGGAATGCCCTCCCAGAAACCCTCAGGGCCCCACAAAGTGTGGAGGCTTTTAAGAAAGGCCTAAAGACATTCCTATTCAAACAGGCCTTCTAGATATGTACAGTAATTATGTTTTATTTTATTTTATATTTTCCTGATGTTATATTTGATGTATTGTTTTTATGTTGTGTATCTTGGGGATGTTCCCTGTTTTTGTAGCACTCTGAGGTTTCCCTGAAATGTAAAGTGCATTATAAATAAAATCTATTATTATTATTATTATTGCAGATGAAAAGCCATGATTATAGAAGAAATGTATGTATTTGGAGCCGTACCGACCGCACAGTCCATCTTACATAGTTTTGTGTGGTTGTTATAATAATAATAATAATAATACATTTGAAGTGCCTTTCTAGACACTCATGGTCGCCTTACATACAAGTAAAAAGTACATGGAATTACGCTGTTGACGATTACATTGCTTAGACAGTACAGTGTGTTTAGCAATGCAATTACTTTTACAATTACTGCTCCAAAGTTTGAGTGCTCAGCCAAAGTTACGAGACACCTTTGAAAGCGTCACAAGGACTGGTTTTATATTTCATAGATAACATATCAAATAAATAAAACAACATACAAAATAAACAGAAATGCAGCGTTTGAAAAGGGGATGAATGGAACGCTTTTTTGGCTCCAACCTTCTCAGTCATTCAACACAAACACAAACACAAACACACACACACACACACACATATGGACACAGGCCCAAACCCTCTCCGACCCAACACCTCACTCTGTGCTGAGGGCGTTAATATTGAACATGTTTTTAACTAATCTGCTTCTAATGAAACACTTGTATATCTCCGAGTTCCCGGACCTCACTGTGAGAAGCACTGTTTTAGACGGTACAATGCGCACTGACCTGAGTGGGATCGTGATGGCGATGTAGCGGTCGGCGGCGATGGCCAGAAGACTGAAGATGGAGCTCTGGGTAAGCACCAGCACGAAGCAGGCGATGAACAGGCAGCCGTAGAAGTTGGAGCAGAAGCCGGTGCTGATGGCGACGGCGAAGGGGATGGCCAGGACTCCTACGGCAATGTCCGCCACCGCCAGCGACACCACAAAGAAATTGGTGATGGTCTGCAGGTTGGAGTTGAGACCCACGGCCCAACAAACCAGCACATTTCCCAAAACGGAGAAAACGGCAATTAGAATCTCCAGGATGATATAGAAGACGGAGGGTGTGTCGAACATGGTGAGGCCGGCGGGAAGCTCAAAAATGATCGAGCCGACGAAAGGACCATAGCTGCGCACAGGACTCCACCGTGTCTCAAAAACCAGCGGATCGACCAGAGATATTCACAAACTCGCCATGGAGAGGAACTGAAGAATGCACAGCGGTTGTAAAATTGTCCTCCTGCTCTGCTCTGGTCCAGCCCCTTTGGAGATTCCTTTTTCCCATGAGCCTCTGGGGGAGCTGAGATGATGCCAACAGCGAAACCACAACAGCACAAGAAGTCACTGCAGATAAGACAGACAGACGTTAAAAGAGGAAGCCACTTTCCGTTATATGACACGTGCAAGTTTTGACGGTTTTCAGAATCCATAAATAAAACGTTGGTCTAGTTTGGAGAAGCGGACAGACATAGAAACCATTATTAAGCATTACAATGTGCATCAGATAGCACAACATTTTTTCTTAAACATGCGTCTGAAAATTCCCCAAAATGGCTGCAGAAACACACAATATTTTTGGGATCTAGATAGAAGTAAACCTGTTGTTTCTTTTTAACCTGTGTGCTGTCTTCGGGTCAAATTCACCCACCACACTGATTAAAAAATAGCCTATTTATTATTTTTTTGAGTTGAATTTTTAGGATTTTTCAAAACTTGACCAGCACTGGGTCATTTACATCTACTTTTAATCACTACCCTTTGTGCTATCCTCTGGCAAAAGGGTTAAAACAAGCTAAATGTGCTGTCAAGTTATTCAGTAGAAGCTCACAACCTGTTAAAATCTATTCGCGACCCACTTTTAGGCCCCGACCCACCAGTTGAGCACCACTGATTTGGTAGACATGTCACCTGCTTCATTCTCCCAGACTAGACCAGACCAGACCAGACCTGCACTTGCAAAGGCTTCATGAGTTTAGTCACAATGATCTGATTACTCGCACACAGCCTGAGTATCCGGATTACTTAGTGGCCTATAGCGATCTAACAGGCAGCGCTGTGTGGCTGTTTGCGCTGCGGAGCTGTGGTTTTGTGGGAGCGCTGATTGCTTACAGCTTCCATAAACAGCCCTCGCTGACCCGAGCGGAGCGCAGGGAGCCGAGCGCAGTCAGAGGCAGATGTTCCGTCGCGGGGCCCTCACTGCTCTGGCGCATCTGGGAATGTCCCCTGAGAAGACGCCGCTGCACGACCGAGGCAGTGGTCACAACGGAACCAGTCTGAAGACATTTAGGGTTTGGGGGATGTATCTAGTTTTTCTGATAAACACTGTCCAGGAGAATTTTTTTTTGAGCCAATAAATCATATCTTAAATTCAGTTTGAAATATGTTTGTTGAGTTTTAGAGAAAGTTGTCAAAATTTCAGAAAATGTGATTGTAAAACTGGTACAAGATTTAGGGCCGGGGCAAAAACTTTAAATCTTGATTCGAACCAAAGTCACCAAACTTACAGTGCCTTGCAAAAGTATTCACCCCCCTTGGCATTTTGTGTGTTTTGTTGCCTCACAACCTGGAATTAACATGGATTGTTTGAGGATATGTATCAGTTAATTTTTCTCAATGCACTTCACCAACTTAGAATACTGTTTTCTGATCCATCACATGAAATTCAGATTAAAAAAACATTGAACTAAAGGCTGTAATGTAACAAAATACTTTTGCAAGGTACTGTAAATGAAAAAAGCTCAATATTAACATTTTAAATAGATTTCTGACATCTAGGATATGATCGATGTTGTCCTTCTTGTCCTGAAAGGCAACGGCCAGAATAAATATTATCCTGATCTTGTTTTTACGCTTTAAAAAAGGTTGATTCATTGAATACATTTGATTTATTGTAGAGACCTGTGCCGAGCTAGAAACGCACAAGAAACAGAACGAAAATGTATTGTCTCTTTTCGTTAATACAAGAGAAATAAGAACAACACACTCTCTGCCGTTTTGATCACACGACAGTATTGCAGCCCTGGAATTTCTTTTATAAATGTTTCATCCACCAATGCTTTTATTTTCTTTATATCGGGCAAGACATGTTCTCGATCACATTTATAAATACTCTATCCAGGAGAAAGAATCTTCCATCAAGTTTTTTTCAGATTTTGGTTTACCTTCTTTTGAGTAATTTTGGATTTTGATACTTTCTTTTGGTGAAATATAAATGTCAATGTTCTTAAACTAAAATACACGCAGGAGTGCTCAGGTATTTTGGCACAACTGAACAATAAATCGGTTGTGCCCTTCTAATCTCCTGCTTTGTTGTGATGTTTTTTCATAAAGGGGAGACTTCCATTGATTAATACGAGGAGATTAGAATGGAATGGAGGTAAACTTCATACTTTTTGTCAGGTCAAATCTTTTGCTCTGGTGAAAATGGCACCTGGAAAATACATTTGCAGATTTACAGAACTTCAGAGAGTAGATTAGCTTAAAAAAAAAAAGAAAGAAAAAGAAAAATTGGCCTACATGGATTAGATTCAGACAAGCCTTTGTAAACAGACTTAGTCTCCTTGGTGAATTGGATTTAATCAGGACTGAGCTTGAACTGGAGCCTCCCGAGAGACAGAGACGTTCCCAAATGAGTTCAGCTGATTTGACATGAGACGGACACCCTTTGTTTATATAAGCCTTCACAATCTGACACCTCCACATGTTTCTGCTTTTGCTTCATGATCAAGATTGCCATTTTGGTTCCCACAACGAGCATATTTCAAAAGGTGCAATTATGTGAAAAAAATAAAAATAAAAATGTGATTCAGTCTAAAAGCTCTGTCTTTTTTGTCTTTCTTTTGCTGTGATTGAAATGAATAGATACTTTGTCGTTCAGGTACACATCAGTGGAGCAAGTATTCTCAAGTACATGATACGTTCAGAATAAATAATAATGTACATAACCTTAATGCACAATATAAATACAGTTTTAAAAGTATGTTCAAATGTTTCATGATTATTAATATTTCATTAATTAGATCAGCTAGTAGGCCTTGGACTCTCGATGGACTGGTGATGCCTGCGTGCGCCACAAGAGGGACTTATCTTCATTGCATTAAAGTCACGCATGAGGAAAACACGTAAATCACTCTCGAGATCTTTTTCTCCCTGTTTCAGGGGTGCAACACGCTGACATGCTGCAATACCACCCCGGGCCGATGGGGGTGGACCCGGAATAAGAATTAGCCAATGCTAACATATAGCATTAGTCTTTACAGGATGGACCAAAAGTTGGCTCTGGGCCCAAAGCTCCGTTCCACATGTGTGTCAATGCTGAGGGGAGGGTTTTGGACCAGTCTAGTTTACTCGCTGTGAATTTTTGAAGTCACTCGTTTAAATGAATGGAGCTCGTGCAGCTGAGGCATGCGCAGATGTGTTTTTTCACATTTTCCAGCACCGCGGCCATTTTGAATCACTCCATGAGAGCCCAATTTTTGGCCCATTAGTTAGAACGGCGGAGATAGGCGTGGCTACGTCCGTTAATATATACAGTCTACGATACCAGCCAGCATAAAAGACAAACTAAAAATACAGCATACTTTACCTTCATTTTTTTTTATTTCCCAGTTTATTTTCAAGGTGTAAAATATGCACTTTGAAGATAAATGAAATAGAAATAACAAATCTAATCCTAGTGTTTGCAGAACCATTGTTTGCCTTCACATTATGTGCACATTTGTTCTTACTGCATTTCACTGATTAATACATCTCTTTGTCACTGCTATATTGACTTTGATTATTCCAGATTCATGCAGAGTTAATGCAGAATGGTTTAGATGCACTCTGGCCACCGAACGAATTGCCCTGGTGGGATAAATAAAGTAGTCTGAATGAATCTTCCATAATTGCTGTTCCTAGAAAGTGGTGTTTACAGTATGTTTAGTTATCTGTTATTCTGTGACGTTGCTAAGACGGAGGAGAAACACAGAGGTCTTTGGACGGGGTCGAGATGTTCCTGTGAGTGTAAGTAAAGTAAGTAAGTAAAGTTTATTTGTATAGCGCCTTTCACAGACCAGGGTCACAAAGCGCTTCACACATTAAAATACAAAATACACATACAAGTCAGATAAAACAAACACAGAAAACACAATTTACATTCACAGAGGCCTATGAACAATGGTGCGAGAAAGCCTGTCCAAACAAATGTGTCTTTAGTTGGGACTTAAAATCATCAACAGTCTCTACGATACGCAGAGACTGAGGAAGCTCATTCCAAAGGCGAGGAGCAACTGCCTGGAAGGATCTGTCTCCTCTGGTTTTGAAACGAGTCCGGGGGACCATCAACAGGTTCTGAGTAGAGGACCTCAGACTCCTGTTGGAGACATAAGGGTGGATCAGGCCCTGGATGTATTCAGGCGCCTGACCATGAAGGGCCCTAAAAGTCAACACCAGAATTTTAAAATGTATTCTGTGTGAGACAGGGAGCCAGTGTAAGGCCTTCAAGACAGGGGTAATGTGGGTTCTCCTGTGGGTGCGGGTCAAAAGCCTTGCAGCAGAATTTTGGACGACCTGTAAACGAGCCAGGTCTTTTTTACTAAGACATGTAAGCAGGCTGTTACAGTAGTCCAATCGCGAGGAAACAAAAGCGTGGACAATCATCTCCAGCTCCGGACCCGAGACCATTTGTCTGAGCTTAGAGATGTTGCGCAAGTGGAAATTGCAGTTTCGGGTCAGCTGTTTGGTGTGTCGTTCTAGGGACATCCCTCCATCAAAAGTGACTCCCAGGTTCCTCACACTCTTTTTTACTGAGCTACTTAGGTCACCAAGGTGTTGAGCAATAACAGAAACAATATTGTCTGTTATTCCTCCATGCTCCGAGTGTCACATGGAGCCTTTTCATAACTGCTTCTGTGTCACACAAACAGGAATCTACTTTTTGTTCAGAAACTGTGCTCTTGTGTTCGTCGTGCTGATCCCTGCGGAGTTCAATTATCCTCCTATCGTTGCACGGCCTAATGTTACAGATTATGTAACGCCAGCGTACAAAACAAACTGCTGTGTTTGGTACGAGAGGTCGGAGCTAGAGATGGCTGTTT